TGCGGTTTCGGATCAGGACGGAACGGGAAGCGCCTTGACGACAAAGAGTCGGTCGTCGCCGAACGGCTACAAGACTTACACGTCGCACAAAGATCATGATGTAGAGGGTTGTTTTTAATTGTAGAGTTGTTGTGTATTGTGGCGGGGATTACACACACTGACAGTTATTTTTCTTCCATCATAAAAATATCATTAATGATTGTAGGCCTTTGATAACTCATTCAAGTATGATAGTTTTTATTAATTTTATCATTTTTTTTAAAATCAATACACAATGATTTTTCAAACAATCAAGGGGTTTCACATTTTGTTTTTTCTGCTTGGGGAAATCGGGATCGAGGTTTCATGTTTATATTAAGCTGAATTAGGTTGATAATTCCGGAGACAATCGAATATCATATAGGCTTATACGAGCGACTTGGCTTAGTGGAGAATGCTAATCTGCGGAGTGTCCGTGAAGATTTCGTCGTCGCTATAAAGAAATAATTCCACCGTTGGTAATGTATTTCTTTTAACCGGAAATTGAAGCTTATATAAAGTATTGTTGGAGAAACGATTTTTCTAATGTATATAAAATCTAGTATTTCACGTCTCGCTTGCCGGTTGGAGGAGAATAAACCTGTACTCACGATTGCACTTCGGACGGAAGAAGAAAAAAAATCTGGAATCCTTATCTCTAAGAGATCCGGTTCGTTCGTCTAAACGAGATATCGGTAGTTTTTTTACCTTTTGTTACTACTATCGTTTGCGGCCGTTGCTTTTCTCTGTCTTTGGGCTTCGCGGATGTTGACTCCTAAGCGACTATTCATCTCTGCGCCTCCTCCGCTTCGGCTCCCCAACTCCTCCCTGGGAACGAATGACCGCGTCGCGATGTGCGCTGTAAACCGGTCAGCTCGTAAAGGATAGTGTAACGTCGTGTGTAGTGATCTAACCACAAGGAAACTGACACGAGTGAGTATATAAAAAAGTTTTATTTAAACACTGTACAACTTACAACTCTCTACTCTAGGCGGGTTTGCCAGAGCTACCACTGCAGCCCTAATCTCCCTACATGCGCCTTGCGGCGACGGCTACGACAGCCAGCAAGGCCGCGTCGTAGATTGGCACCTGGTGTGCCCGGAGATTGACGAATCTGCCGAATGTGTTTTGAAAGAACACATCACCCCTGTACGAACGAATCGTCGGACACAACATTGCCCTCGCACTCCGCACAGCCTGGGCGGACAAAAGTTTTGGGTGGTCTAGCACGAGGAACAAAAACGTTACCCTCGCGCGTTCGCGCACGGGTCTTTATAGGTTCCGGGGTCACCTGACTCCTACGTCACTATTACCACCCCGCGCCGGGGGAAAGCCTTTCCTGGCGCTGCCTGGCCCGCGGACCAATTTCCTGTCGGAAAGTCCCTTCTCTTTTTGTTCTATGCTTTAGATGATCCCCAGCCTCTAACCTCTGCACTCGCTTGCTGCTCGCAAGCGTGGACGCTACAATAGCGTGTTGCGCTGGCCGGCTGCGGGGCACCTTGGCTCGATGCCGCTGCGCGCAGTAGAGAAGGAAGAGCGATGTGTTGGCGGAGGGCGGTGGGGTGGGGTGGCGGGATTGGGCGATCGCTCCGGCAGCGATAAATTCCAGGCGCCGCTCTGAATAGGGGCTCGCGTGCGCGGGGAGGGTTGAAGCTCCGGCAACCTCTGCTACGCTCACGCCCAGATGACTTGAAGAGCGCGTTCTATTTTTGTCGGGAGTGCTCGTGGTGAAATTGACTAGGCGACATGTCTTCTGAACCCGTTGTGGGCCGGATTCAATGCGTTTAATATTGAATGAATTGAATTTTGCCTTATTTACGGTTGGCGAGCTCGGGCGCATAAGGCTCGCTCTTCCGTCTGACCCAGCAAATTTGCTACGCTCCTTTCAACCAATAACTAGGAGAGAAAGGAGGTATTTCTCGGGCGAGGAACAGGCGATTTGAATTTAGACTCAGATGGGCGTCATTAGCTTAGAGGGATCTTTTACATGCAAGTAATATCGGAACATGGGTCAGCGGCGGTTACTTCCCCTCCGAAGGAAGGCGTACGAAGGATTTTTTCGTCCTTAAAAATCCACGGCTTCGATCGGGCTTGAACCCGCCAACTTGGGTTCAACAGTCCAGTACGCTAACCGTTACACCATCGCGATATGGGATTGTGGCGGATAAAGAGAGATCTCGGAAGAGCTTTTTCGAGGTACTCCTCCCTTCCCTGCCCATAATTCGCATCATCATTATCGCTATCGTCTTCTCATTAATTAAATCACCCATGAGTCTCAAAAAGACCTAAGCCGTTGAAAGACATCTGTGTGCCAGAAAAATCTTCACTGGGAGTGAAGAAGTTAGTGAAGTGAAAGGTAAAACCATCTGAAGTGGGTGTAGTTTCAAAGGAAACCATTCAAAATTATCATAAGCGCATGCAACATGTGCGAGAAACCTTTTTTCAAACCAGAAAAACAAGGAGACTTACGGAATTAGCTTCATACTTCAAAATTGGAGGGTGTGCGCTAATCTAAATTTTCTTCTCTCCAGTTGTAAGTAAAATCTTACGGTGGGACAATGTTAAATTCACGAATGTTATCGAAAATTTTGTAGTCTTGAAACTGCAAAATATGAAATTAGCGGATAAATTTAGTGAATCATACTGTTCCTCAATTTCATTCAGATGCACTAAGCTTTCGGCACCATTTCTATGGCGCATTCCCCGCGAGGCATAGCTGAGCTAAGTTTTTTTTCTAGCCGCTGGGTAGTGAAGTGACGCAGACAAGAAATCGCCGTTAGGTATAGTCTTCGCGCTCGCGTCTCGCACGCATCCTGTATCATCTACACATTAGCCAGAATTGGGAAGGAATAAGGATAGGGGTGAGATTTAGGACTCTTCGCAGGGGTTGGACTAGCCCCTGTGAATCGCCGTAAACCTTACCCGTATGCAAACTCTCATTATGCAAACTCGTTTTGTCGAAACAAATTTTACACGAGGTTCTACACGAATCGAACCCGGAACCTCAGTGGTGAAAGGTACGCGACGCCGCCTCTGAGCCACGAAAGCATTCTTAACTCTTAAAACTCATTCGACGTAAATGCCTGGCGTATTTAGCGGTTGACAAATCGCACCTCTCAACGCCGCCCGCATTTTTCGGCGCGCGAGGCATTTCGCGTGTCGCAACCCGCCTCCCGATTGGCGACGGCCATGATCGCAGAGCGCAGCGTCGCGTCTGCCACCGCCCCCGCCCCCGCCCCCGCCCCCGCGAACAGCTGACTAAATTAAGTGGCCGCTCTGAAAGCGGTCCAACGGCGCAGCGACTGCCGCGGGGGCGTTGCATCGCGGCGGTGGCGGAGCTGTCGCCAGCGCCCAGACGGGCCTATTCACGAAAGCAGGGTGGTGCTTGGCGCGACCATCAGACTTCCTAGCAGGGGGAATTTATCTCCGTTCACAAAAATAATTCATCGTAATTAATAATAATAATAAAAACAATAAAAAATTTAAATTCAAAAATGTAAAATATTAATAAAGACAATAAAAATAAAACATCGAATAAAAATTAAAAATTTAATAAAAAGCTAATAAAAATATAATTACAATATCGATAAAAGTAAACAAAGTTAAAAAATAAATAAGCATGATAAAAAATGCAAGTGATTAAAATATTGTTCTACGTATGTGGAGAATTGTGTTTGTGACATTCTCAAAATGATAGACAATGGTTTTGCCAACGAACATGCGTAAAGTTACTAATAATAGGATCTTGAATAAATTTGCGTTTGAGCTAATTTTCTTGAAATTCTAGGCTTGCGTTACAGTCGAAAACTCCGTAATCGTATCAGAGATATTACATACATTTTCGGAGTTTCATAAATGCAACTGAGAGATGGCCTGGTTTCATAATTGTAAATAAATATCAAAGATGTGTGTAAATACAACATTCCACAAAATCACATCGTTTGTTGTCACGGGAGATACAAAAATCCGTAAATCTAAGATCCAAATACAAATCTTCAAGATAGTAAGAGGAAGTGAAATAAGAATTTTAAAAAAATGCTCTTTCTTGGAAAAGGAGTCTCTTACGGGAATCGGACATGAAAGCGAAACGTTCCTCCGAATTTCTGTAAAGTGGTTTTCCTCTCAAACGCGATGTTTCGTGCGGGAGTCCAGAACTCTGATCGTACGAGGAGCTACCTAATTTGAATTCAAAACTACACCCCCTCCCTACCGAAACGGTCCAGTGGTGTCATTATGCCGGGCGAACTACACGACGACTTCGACGGAACAGCCGATATAACGAGCTTCAATTAACCCCAATGCTGGAGATGAAATATAAAGCGAGGTCTGCGGCTCAGATTGTAGCAGCAGCCGCCCGAGGCGATGTTGCCGCTGCCAACTCCTCCGTTGGGTCGATGGCGCGACTTCCCTCCGACACAGATCCTTGCGCAATCCTTGTGGATCTAGACGCGTTTTGGGACTAGCGCACTGGGGCTTTCAAACATCACTCTGGTGTGGTCATTCATGAAGGAGTTGTATTTGTGTGGAACTGCCCTCAATACTTCAACGTGACATAAATGACGGATTATCAGCGCAGAGTCCATGAACGAAGCAAAATAAAAATATTGGCACATAACTTCATCCCTACGACGTTCCCTTGCAGCACAAATAAGGGAAATAATTATTTCGTAACGCAAAGTAATACTTATTTAATAATATTCGTAAAGGCCGTTATTCGTAATGTATGATCAACAAAAAGGGGACTACAAATCATTTCGTAACGAAAAGCAAAAAACGGAGCCTTTTTTATGTATATAGCAGAATTATGTAAACAAGGCATTCTAAAACAGATGTTTCTCGGGACACTCCCAATAAATCCGCCCTTGAGTTAATTCCGTGCATTCGAGGGACACTCATCCTATTTCCAAACTTCGCTTCTCCCAGAACGGCGCCAAAGCGCGCTCGTAAATCTAGATTTGTCGAAGCGTTATCGCCGACGAGACATGGGCAATGCTCCCGTTGCCGTTAAGCTAGGCCCTCGTGTCGGAGGTTATCGCAGAAACGACTTGTCCCCTACATTCGGTCTGATTAGATTCACGCCGACGCCATCACAGCCGCTTCGCTGGTATATCAACGACGGGCCGCAACGCTATTGCTCACTCTTTCGCCAAGGCCTCTGCGGCGATGCAGACATGGCGAAGGTGCGTCCCAGGAGCTGCCGTGGAATCTCTGCGTCAGGTGGTTTATCATGTTGAAGGGTGACGCTTCGCACTGACAGATAAAAGCGGTCGAATAACTCCATGGGATAAGCACAGCAGACATTCCGATAGCACCCTTCCAGTTAGGCTTTTGATACCTGATAAATAGTGGATGTTAAGTTATGTACTTGACGATGTTTTGAAAAAGAGTAGTGCCTTATGTTAAGCTACATGGCTGAAAAAGAAGAAACTTAAGAGAGGGAAGTACGCTGATAATAAACTATTCCAATTGTTTCTGCATCTACCATCGCGTTCTTAAAGAAGGTAAGCTAAGTAATAAAAAATTACGCCTTAGATTACGTCACGTTTCTCTCAGGACGGCGACGAATTCTAACGCTCCCAAAAACAACGAATTATACTTTAAACATCTGTGACATTTGAGTTATGGGTGGAGATGTAGGAAACAATATATAAGACCTCAATTAAAACTTTCAGGAGTTTCAGAATAAATATACCAAATTGTCATTGTATAAAGTTCTAAAGGAGTTTTTAAATATTTCAGCGATATTACTTGGTGCTTCAAAATCTTTCATTTCTCTTTTGAACTGTTTCGAGGACCTTCAGAAATCGAATGAAGTGAAAGTGTACATGTGTCAATAATAGTGTGCTGTGTCTTAATGAATGGAGTTGACTTGTGAAAAACGTTGCGTTAAAACGCGTGTGTTTGGCGTGTCGTGTTGCAGGTCGTCAATGTGCTCCTTGGCGGCTATGCCCGCGGACTATGAGATGCTAGTCTCGCACAGCCCGCCCCGTCTTCAGCCACAGCCCCGCCGCTCAGCGCCGCTTTCCCTTCGCCGACACTCTGCCCGGCCGCGCCGCCGTCCCGTCCGGCTGCGGCTTTCATTCGCCCTGCTCCAGCAGCAAGCAGCAACAGTCGCATGCCCTGTCGCTGTCGCCCCGCCCGCCGCCCCGCCCACCGCCCGCGCCGGTCGCCCGCGCCCGCGCCGCCGCCCGCCGCCGCCCGCCATAGCCCGTGGCCGGTGCCACCGCCGCCCGTGCTCGTGGTGGCGCCCCGAAGAGGCGGGCGCCGCCCACAACGGCCCTCCGGCGACGACTTCCGACGGCGCCAACGGCGACCTGCCCAGCCCCACGCGCCTCAAGAATGAAATGGTCGTCTCGCCGACGAACAAGGGGCTCGCGCTCACGCAGGTGCGTAACACACTCCACTACACTTTTTTTTCTTTCGTGCGAAATCGATCACGTGTTATTCGATGTTTGAAAGTCGACCCCAAATATGCCTGCTCAGAAGTTTTCCAACAGAGAGTTTTTTTTTCTATTATTGGTGTTGGAAGCGACCCTGTAGAGCAAACGAAAAGCTATAATCATTCCAACTTATTTATTTTCCTCCTCCACTCATGTAAACTAGTAATTTATTCTTTGACAGAAAATTCTCTCGAAAATAATTGCCATGGAATTGTACAATTTACGGTTTCTTGAAACGGGGTGCCTTTCTAGCACTTTACGGTTTCCGTCATCAGCTCGCAATAAGTTAGTTGTACTCACTTTGGCACAATCTTTTTCCCGTTTTAATTTCCCCTCTAGTTTTTTGATCGAAGAATTGCCAATGCAACTTATCGTGAAATATACCATCTAATTAGAGAGTTTTTTAATCGTGTGCTAATATTTATGCCAATATACTACAACTCGGCTATGACTGCAAACATCTTTACGTGTATAGTCTCTCAATTTGCCAGCCGTCCCGGGTCCAGTTCCGTTAGAATGATTAATTATATTATACGATTGATACCAGCCCAAATGGTTGACGAGACTATTATGTAGCGTTGTGTGTGTGTGCGTCAGGGTATGCGCGTGATTGTCGGAGCCTCAGTGCCGCCGGATGTGGACGCTGCAGTTTCCTTGGCGCAGTGACGAGGCGTGTCGGCCGAGGTGGCGCCCGAGCCGTGGGAATGACTGTCCGCAGCCGGCGTTCCGCCTGACTACCTGGATTTCCGGCACCGCCTCGACACGGCCGCAACGTCTCCTGGGAGAAGTGATCGTGCCGCGAGTCGGAGGAGGCCGTGGTTGCGGCACGGTGAAGTGCGCAACCTGCTGCTTCAAAGAGGAGGTGCTGGTGCGCTCCTCTCCGACCGGGTGGGCCCGCAGGGAGACGCCCTTCTGCACCTACGTGAAGCAACAACAACAACAACACAGCGCGCGGTTGACGGCAGGCGGCGGCGGGCTACGCCATCTACACACCTTCTCCTTTCCGGCTGACCTCCGCCGCGCTCCGCGCCGGATCGAGTTTTGCGTGTGCTTCCCGCTGCGAAAGACGGCGCCGAGTTTCTGGAGCAACAACGCGGCAAGAACTATTTGCCGTCAAGAAGACGCCGGGCGACGCGCCGGCCAACGCAAGCTCGGCGACGCTTGGCCGCCGCGGGCCGTCGGCCGCCCCGACGCGAAACGGCCGGTAAGTTCAACTGACGCGCTGTAACGCCAGAGTGGACTCGTGGTCGGAGTTCCGCCAGCTGCTAACCACCTCGTGAATGACATCGCCCTACTGCGTGACCCGGCGGGCGGGGCCCGTGACGGTCGCGACCGCGTCCGTCTTCTTCTCTCTCCGCCTCGCGCCCCCCGCCGCGGGTAGGCCGGCGGGCGCGGTGGTTTTCGGGCGTCCGGCGCTCCGCGTCGTCACGGCGCGTCCGTCGTCTCGCGCACGATGGGGCCCCTCGGGCGCCAGCCGGGGCTCTTGCAGCCATTCATAAGTAAGCGCGGTGGCCGTGCAATCTCCTTGGGTTTTCTTTTTGGTTGGTTGGCTTCCCGGTGCTAGGGCTGCTTTCCTGCCCCCCCCCGCCCCGTAATTGGCTGAGACTTTCACCTCACACCGGCCGCTTATCGCCTAAGATTGCATTATAAACTATCGAACGTACGTAGTGTCATTGTTTTAACGCTCCTTATCTTCCACCAAATTTGAGACTGCTTGAGCACTTTCGTAACAGCCCTATCTAAGAGTACCTGAAACTTCTATCCTGAGGCTTACGGGTGCAAAACGAACCACGTGTGGAGTATGCACCAAAGACTCTCAATCTCCCTCAGCTGTTTTATTTTCTAAAATAAAAGAGAATTCATTTCCCTCCTGGTTACAGTTCATAGGAGCTGTTACTGAAGCTATTTATTGTGCTTGAATAATGATTATTCAAATTATCTTGAGCTTTGACCCATCGTTAATCTTTTATTGTCCCCTTGCTGAAGTGCTTTAATGAATATAAAGCTTTTTATTAACTTGAATGTTAACGTATATTGCAGTTTTATCATTTTGATATTCTTTTAGAACTTTACATTAGGTAGTTTACATTAGCTAACGTTTGTCTTAATCTTTCAGTATCTTAATCCTTTTCCACATAACTGTAGTTGGTAGAGACTTCATTCTTCTGTCTCCTTCACCATTATTTAACGTACGCGTCAGATGAATTGCGGAATGTGCGCGTGGCGAATTGAGTCGGGAGTGGGTCCTTGACCGGGTAAATGGGCAGCGACGGCGCCGCGCTCGCGAGGAAACGGGACGCGAGGTTTTTGCATAACCGGCGACTTCCGTTCGCGGCCGTGGGGAGAGATTACATTTCCTGACATAAGAACAGCGCAGCGGCCGCGGCCGAACCTTGTCCTTCTGGCCGGCCGCCGCCGCCGCCGCCACTTACAGCGACTGCCAACCTCTCGGCCTCGCGCCCACGGCCTATCTCGTTGGCGAATCGTGCAGCCGTTGCACGCTGCACTGAATCACAACGAGCGCGTTGCACTTCCGTGGTCCTGCAGTTGTCGCCTGGGAGTGCATCTCGGTTGAACAGAGGTGGTTACGGATACCGGAATGTGTATACGATGTTATACATCTGGGGTAACATACCGAGTGCATAATCAGTTGGATCGAGTGAACTTCTTATGATTAATTCGGAAACCATATTGGTCAACTGGAGTATTTTTTTCTAATGGGATGTTTCAGACCAAATATCATCGGTGTTCAAGAAAAGTGAAAGTGAAATGTTTACATTAAAAATAAAAGAAAATTTTAAAAAATTGCAGAACGGTTTTATCCTTATTAGGACAATTGATTTCCGCACAGAGGAAAGTTTCTCTAAATACGGCAACCTTGTGAACTCTTTATCAATCTTTTACTATTAAACAAAATATTTTCTAGAAATATTTCTTAACTTGTCACAAATTAAGATTTTTTTTAGATGACCTTTTTCCTTAGCATGACGATATGGAAAAACTGATTCTGAGCATTCTTCGGAAATTATGAAGTAGCGTGGGAGACATAACAAAATTCGAGCAGATGACATTTTTTTCGAAAGTTATGAATTATCTAAGGATGATAATGACTAGTATTAAATTACAATTTTGTATGACATGACGAAAGCAGTGGGTCGCCTTATACATCGTATCATAAAATACGTGTATTTTCTTTCACACACCGAAGAGCGACAGTTCCCAAATGTGACCGCTGTTGGAGGTCGTTGGTGTCTTCCACACGTGCTACACTCGCTCGCCCACCCAAGACTCGTGGGCGAGGGTTGGGCCTCCGCTCTCGAAACCGTGGCATTCTTAGTCTCCCCACCCACTCACCCGCGCTTAACAGTGTAGGCAGACGGGAGGGTGGCGAGGTGCACCCGGCAGGTGTCTCCGAAAGCAGCTTTTCTGGATGGCCCGCCCATGTCGCAAGCGGCGGCGGAGGAGGAGGAGGTTAGTGGTTGTGAGCGCGCCTGGTGGTCGTATTGTATCGCCGCCCACGCCATCCGCCCTCATTGCCCCGTCCTCGCCCCAATGTTGCAGCGAGGACGCCTGCTTGATGGGGCCTGCAAGAACAGCGCCTGTAATGTTCGTTACCTCGTGAAGCTGTGCGCAAGAAGTGTGGCGTGCTCTTGCGAATAGAACAGATGTGATCCTTTACGTCCTTCATTAGTGAAGATGTTGAAGGCCATCGTAAAACCGTTGATACTGTTAGTTTCAGTCCTATCAGGTCCTTCCTTAATTATTATATTTTGACTAATTTCTGCATTGTGCGATGAAAATGGCCCTCTTCAACAGTTAATTTCAATATTTCATTCATGAAACAAAAACTTAAGGTAATGGCAGGATTAAGCTATGGAGATCTAAAATACGAGGATGAAGTGTTGAAATAAAAGATAATCGTGTAAAGTCGGCAGGCCTAACAATGGGAGAGTAAACTTTAAAAAAACTAACAAAAACAGTGGCCAGTCATCTTGTCTGAAGATAAAACGGAGAGGAATAAGACTTATTTTTGACGGGATCGAACGAAAGTAGACTAGTCTGGGGGCGTGACTTCCTCGTAGGTTTCTCCAGTAATAATATACTCAAAATAAAATTGTGTTCGGTGATAACTAATATTAAATTAAATTTAATATCGCGTCCCGCACACGCATGTTATCATATAACCACAGATTTCCAGTTCCAAACCCTAATTCTTACATCACGACAAGCCCCCCCCCCCAACCCCATTATATTTGGAAGCAGCGGGTTCACCGCCAACGGGCAAACTTATGACATTAACGATCGAACCAATTCCAAATGATTAATGTCCATCGGCTAACCCACAGAAAGGATACCTTGCGCAACACGACTTCCATTCATTTCGAAGGTCGCGCTCTCCCGAGAGACAACAAACCTATTAAAAAATACATCATATCCCCCCCCCTCCTTCCTTCCCACGGACTGTAGCGGGATCGCGCGCCGTTAACGTCCTATCAAACACGATGCTAATCGGCAGTTCGTTACCCTTCTCAAATCAACCAGTCATCCGGTACTTTTCCGCCGCGGAGGTGTCCTAAATTCTCACGCGCGACGCGTGGCGCCCATCCCAGAGGCGCCGTGCGGGGGATTTCGGGGCCCCACGCGACGCCGCTATCTGACGTCGCGGGCGAGGGGGGAAGGGGAGGGGGAGGAGGGGTAATAAAACTGTAGCGGGCTCCGCTGCTCAGACGCCCAGATAACGGGGATTCCTTCAGGAGATGGACTAGGACGTGGTTGCTAGTTCTATACCCAGACGTGTATTTCGGGGGGGGGGATAAATGAACATTTCACGTAATATTTGCGATTCCTGGTTGGTAAATTTTTGTAAAAGATGTAAAATACCTGTTCACTGACTGAACATTGGGAGTGGGTGGGAATCATGCCATATGTAAATTGTAATAAATTTATTCGCAACTGTCGCGTTACAATTGAGTTACTTACAAATGAATAGTATTTCCATTATGTCTTTTAATGAAACACCGGTTTTTAAAAAGTTCTAAAATGTTTATTATGTAATAGTTTAATGGAATTTTTACTATAAATTTAAAATGCACAAGCTACCCAACAACCGCAAAGTTCCGAGAGTAATGCTCCCCCTGCTGCATGTTTTGCCGGACTGGTCACGTTTCATCTATCAATAGATAAAGTTGTAGATTCTGCTTTTATTTTTTATACTTAAAATCCTTCAGTTATGGGCTGTATCGAGAAAGATTCTTGATTACGTCTTTAGTTATAAGCTTTCTTTACTGTCTAGTAGACATATGATACATTATATCACGTACAAACATTAGAGGATAAAAGTATCACGATGTTTAAAATCTTCTATTCGAATGCACATAAAATTAATGTTTCGAGGGGATTTTTGTAATTTTTTACGATTTTCAACGCCTTATGGTCATAATCATTTGAAGAATCGGCAAATAGCATATTGTGGGCGTCATAAATTTTGTATGTATTATTTTACAATTTTATCTCAGTTACATTTCTTTAAAAATGTTCAAATTATTATTAACAAAATTATCGGAGGTGGTCAGATAAATCAAAACTTACTATAACACTGGTATTGATCTCAATCCACAGTCGATTACAAATGTGCTATTGAATCTTCTAAGAAAGGTGTCGGAGTTTACAGCAATCATAACTGCAGGAGCAATTTCAATATAAAATGATTGTATTGATATAAAACAATGAAGCTTGTTTCACCCAATGAATCTCTTCACAATCGCATACTCAATGTTTTTGACTGAGCGCTCTATTCTTTTGAGACTCCTCAAGATTGCATGGTAAGGGAAGCGAGATCAGCGGGCTCAGAAATGGGGCCTCGCATTTTATCGACCTCCCGTCGGCGCCCCGCGCTTGGACCGGCGCCAGTCTCGCCGCCCACCCCCCCTCGCATCCGCCTCTTTAGCCGGAGTTCGGAGCACTGGCTTACTGCACTGGTTGTCTGGACGCCACGCGTTACGATACAAAGGAATAAACGAAAAAAGGGGGGAGAAATAGTAAAACAAAGACAAACAATCTAAGAAACGCTTCAAGAAATGTAACTTTATTGGGAAGTTGAATTTTATTCACATTAACGCAGTATACGGATATTGTCTTGCACGGTTACAAGTTTCATTTTGCGTTGTTTGGAGTGATCGTTAATAATACTTGCGAATGACGATCTGAGTTTTGGCTTTCGGTTTAGATTAGATTTTTTCGCAACAGAAATACGCATTTGACCTCGGATCGACTGGTAGATTCGTTTCTGCAATATCGCCGGCCCGCGCAAGGACGAATAATTATTTCGGGAGAGGAATTGCCACAGGACGCGAAAATTTGGGGCGAGCGCAGATGGAACGAATTCCAAGAGACAAGATTTGTGGAGTGAAATCTCTCATAACTGTGGAAGTGGGGTGAGGGTGGGGACACATTCGTGCGAAAATTCTGAGGCAGACAATTGTGGTAGGCGTCGAAGTTATTAATATGTTTATAAGACAATCGACAAACCAAATGAGTGTGAAAGAAAAGAATGGATAATTAAACATGAAATCAATGTTTTATAGGAGGATGTGTGTTCAGGAAACATTCAGATGTGCGCTTCTCAATAATAGCCAGTGATATAGCAAATAATATTATGTGAATTGTTCTGCAAATGACGATAGTATGCGCTTACACGCACTTCACAATTCAATAATAATGTCGTTACAAGATTTCAGTATCTGTAGAAAGAGCGAACGTAACTAATTAATTTACGATGCAATTTTAATGGATTTGCATTGTACACACGGTTAGTGGTGAATAATACCTATACGGGTGACGTTCGGAGAAGGAAGTGTGTACGTGGCCAAAGCCTGACGCATTACCAGGTAGGGCTCGACCTCCAAAAAGCCGCGTCATCACGCGTGCAAACCGCTGGACTAGGCTTCTCGTATTTCGTCACACAACGGCACGCAGTTCATTCGCCGGGCAGGCACCTGTTCGAAAAACATCGCCGGTCGACGCACTTGTGGTACCGAAACAACCCATTAAAATTCCCTCCGGCCGTTCCTGCAAAGAATTCTAAAATCGAAATTGCTCCAACATTCGTATTCCGGTGAAATACGAAATGTACACAATCTCATGTTATATACATACGTTCACGTAATGCAAGTGAACTGTACTTCTTGTGAAATCTCGATTACTTAGATTTTTTCATTCGCAACTTTCCTTTACGCTTGCATTTCTCTGTCCAAGCAGTGCGCTCGATATGGAAGTGATAAGTAGATAATCCGATAAGACGACTTAATCCTATTCTTTCGAAATGTATCGAAACGACACTGACAGTTTCATCTCGTAACTTCCCTCACACTGGTAAAGTACTGTTGATGATATTGGGCTAATAAAGTGATTTCTTTAAGATTCATTACTCTTCATTTGAAAAAATCTCATATGGTGCACTAAATATGAAATTTATAGTACCACGATTGTAGTCAAATAAACTTTCTGAATTAACAATTGTGATGACGTCATGCTGTATTTTAGGGGCTGATGACACCATTGCTCGATGCATTTGCCCTCGACGAGTACGTTTGTTCCTCGTATCAACACATTTCTATTCAACGCCCCAAGGCGCATTCTGCGCACCTGGCACATCGCCCATTCATTTCGCACTCGGCACCTGCCACGCACGCCCGCCGTCGGAGCCGAGCTTTCGCACATCCCCCCTCCCCTCCCCTCCCCTCCCCTCGTCGTCGTATTCACGGCTGCCACGGACATCTCCCCTCACCCGCGTGAAGGGTCGCGCGCGCCCACTTCGCCAAGGCAAGGCCCCGCCCGCCCGCCCGCCGCCCGCCGCGAGCGTGTGGGGTGGGCTGGGCGGTAAGCACCCTCGCGAGGCGAATACGAACCGAGGGCAGCCGGTGTGCTGGGGCGCGGGACTCACGGACAGGGCGAGCGTTCGGTAACAGAGTTGCGCAACCCGCCGCCGGAGGTCGCTGACTTGGGCGGTCGCTGACGCGAAAGGCGGAGGGCTATGAATACGACACGCGGAGGCGAAAATTCCCGCCAGTGGGAGGAAGCGATTGGCGGCCGATTCGCGTATGTTCTATACTGAAGAACAAAAACAAGATCGAAAAAGCCGATCCGGTGGCCGAGATCTCTAAGGCTGTAGTATAAATTTCGGACCAAATGATCGCGGGTTCGAGTCCCATCTCGGGCATGGTTGTATTGTCCTTACACCCTCTTATCATCGTATCGTGTCATCTTCAGAGTTACCGTACCGTTACGAACAGTAGTGGTCGCTAATAACCTAGAAGTGAATGCGACCTTAAATTTAAAAAAATCGAAAAAATACTGAGGGGAGGGGGGAAAACGCGGACCAATATTATACACGACTAATCGCAGCACTGGTTAAACTTTGTATTTAAGGATTTTGAGACTGTTACTGGGGTACAATTCCAATTATCGGACACATTTCTATTGAAGTGAAGAAATTTTATTTAGAACGGGCCTTTTCCCTCTCCTTAGTCTCTGTAGCAACAACCATCATTTCTCTCCCTATGGGCAGGCGCGAAAATTTGACGCATGCACGTACAGAAAATCGGAACCGGACAGGCGAAGCAAGTTGGGGGCGACATCGTACAGACAGTAACTGGAGAATTGTCAGTAAAATGTCAAACTGTGCTTTAAATATTTTATTGTAAGGGGAATACTTCAGCTATGGATCTTTGCTGCATAATGTACTATGGTTTGAGAACTTGACACCTACTTTCATTGAAACAGTTTACTTTTTTTTTTTTCGTAGTCTCTTATTCTGACCTTATCAACCTCAAGAGTTCTTTGGTGGCTATTAATGTAAAGAGATCAGATGTCCATACAAAATGTAGTGCTATTTTAATGTATCCAAATGGTATTTGTTTACATTGGCATCAGTAGGGATGTGTCATTCAGCGTTCCCAAGTAGTGGTTTGCATGGAGAAATTTGACATGCACGAGTAAAACTTGTTGAACTCTCGACCTCAATAGTGCCTATGCTTCAATATGGCTTGCTCGTTATTTTCTTTGTTTATGCCGAAACTACAAAGTTTATTCCGTTCCTTCTTTTACTTACGATTTTTTCTTTTGTTTCAGATATCCAAAAGTTACTTCGAGCCTTGAGGCTGGCGAAATCAGGATTGCTCATTCGGTAATGTGATACGTCGGGAAACATCTCCAACCAAGATAACAAGATTAGTAGTCAGGAGGAGTACGAAATTCGAAGTGATGGTTGTGCCGTAATTGCAGGATCTCCTGATGACTTAAGTTTGCGCGCTCATTAATACTCGGCAATGTAATTTGAGTGAAGAGATCCTATTTATCTAAGTCATTAGACGTTAATAAGTGGAGTCAATTTTTCAAGTGAAATGTTTTTGTGGTTATTGTCATAAAATGTGTGCCATGTTAAAATTTGTGTGATTGATCATAAAGAGGTATTCAAGGTGTGCAATGGACAACGAGTGATTAAATGGATACAATGAATGTTGACTGAGACTTCAATGCAAACTAGCTGTGAGTGGTATTTAATGGGTATCTGAGAAACTTTGTCTGCTGTGTTCTATGATGAATTTCTTTTGAACCACGAAGATTAATAAACATGATTCAAATTGAGAACTGAAAGACTGATTGAATAGTGTTGTATATTGTTAAATCTGCTCATGAGGAGAAATGTATCATAGAACAAGTGAAGAGAGCATTGTGTACATAACTACTGCGATACTGCATCTTAGGCTATTCAGATATTAGTGCACAAATTGCATTTATGCACTTGCTTGAGAAAAATACTGATAAGACTTAAATGGTGACAGTCTGCAGAGGTTAGCAATATTGTCTATTTTGTTACTATCCATTAACCTTATAAATTAATGAAAATATTTAGTTTGGGATAGGAAACAAAATAATGCAAATGGCAGCTCTTGTAGCAAATTGGGCGAAGATGAACTTTCTATGTAAATAATGTTGAAAAGTGAATTAACCTTGCACATCAGAATATGTTTAATACTAAACGTGAAGGGTTTGCATATGGAGATTTGCAAGTTATGCTTATCTCATTTTAATGTTATTAAATCTTTCTATGAAAGATAAAATACTCATGATCGGGAGAGTGGCGGGAGGGGATTTATGGAGGGAATATTTTCATATTGAAACATAAACCCATATGGCTGATGATGCATCCTAATCTTAAACTTGCCCCATTTTTGTAAAATGTGCCCTGGTTAATAGACTGATTAGCAAATAAAGCATGCTATTAACTAGAAAACCAGATAATTTGTGGAAGTCAATCACCTGTAAATATGGAATGAAACGAACATTCTTATTCCCGTAAAGCGAAATTAAGCCCGCCGATATTCAACTTTACTTTTTGCCTTCATGATATATTAATTTTCCTCTCGGCTTAAATGCAAACAATTAGGGTGATGCTGTAGAGAAAGCTTGTTGGAAGTTTATTGTATAAAACAGCAGCCACCATAAAGTAGTGTTGAAAAGCTGCAACTTTTACACTTTGTACATAATGGCTGATTGTCTAAGACTGAAGTTATTGTTGCATTATTTTTTAGTTTGATACATTTTATGGGCAATGAATTGTATGAGAGTGTATATATTTTTTATTGTAAAACTCCACTAGCAGCACAGCATACTAATTTTACAGTGTAATATAAGTTAAAAATATTTTAATAAGTTTCAAAAACTCAGAAGTACAAATTTTTTTTATTAGCAGCATTTGAAATGTGAAACTAGTCAGTTTCATTAAGTTGTAATGCATTCATCGAAGGCTAGTATTTTATTTGGCAAACTTGTTTTTTAATTGTAAGATTGGAGTGAGTACATTTGTGAGATGAATGGTAATCATTTTTACACTGTAAATACAACAATTACACTGGAACAGGCTGAGAAGTGTAAATAGAATGTATATAATTCAATCACATTGATATTGAATAAATATGTCTGCTTATTGGTAAAATAATCATTGTTGCTTTTATACTTGCTACCCTAACCACTCTCAAACTTCTTTCCATTACTACTCCCTCTTATTAGTGGCGGACGGTGGGTTCAAATCTTGGAGGCCCAGAAAAATTTGGGCAGGGAATCATAATGTGAAATTGAAAGTCAATGAACCTTGGTTTACAGCTAGACTGATATTGGCGACATTCCAAATAAAAAAAAGTAGATTTAATATTTTTCTGTTAGGATCACTTCTTCGAAAACGGCGCTTCCAATACAGATATTTTGTGTGTTCTCGGAAATATTTAATCTGCCACGCAAGGTACCCATTGCATCCACAGAGCACTCGCTGTCTATGACCGCAACATGCTTTCACAGAAGGCAGCCAAACGCACGGGTGCCTCTATGTCAAACCAACTACAAAACTGGACAAAACGAAACTAATCTTTTCTTATTGGTTGAGTGACGTCATGGCAACAGGAAGGTGCGTGTCAGCTTGGGCAGCCGGTATCTTGCAGGTTCAAGCAGCGGTGTTGCTACTTAGTGTAACGCATTGGCCTGTTTGGGTGCATCTTCAATTGTAACGCTAGGTTTGCAGCAAGAATACTTTTTGGCTACTTTTAAATGTAAACTCTCCAGACGTAATTTTGGACAAAGTTAAAAAATGTATCTTCTAGAGTTAATCAATATTGTGGGAAGCCTGGCCTCCCTTCCCTCCTCTGAAGATCCGCCACTGTCTTATTATATAACGCATTATAAAGTTTTGAAACATTTCAATGGTCATTACGAAAAAGAGGGTTTTCACGCACTGTCGAAGTCTAAAACAAGCATGCAAACATGCGCAATGAAATGGCAAAATATGCACTTTGAAAACGAATGAAATGCGCGTCAAAAAATGTAATTTAACTAATATTCGTTTACTTTTGTGGTAATGAAAAATGTTTTTTTTTAATTCCTTAAGATTCAGGTGTTTGGCTGAAAAAAACTTTTTGAATAGAGAACATGACAAACTTCGATACCTTACAGAAAGAGACGCATACTTAGTTTACGGACAGAGTTAATCTTTCTTCGACAACCGCCTGGAAACGTACTGAAAGTTCCTTCCGTACTAGTTCTGAATGTACAACAAATACACAACAAAAGACGTACATACAGCCGAACAGAAAAAAGTGTGGTTTTGTTTAATTGAATTTGTATATCACCCGGATAAAGTCATAAAATTGAGGGTCTCCAGAAAAGAAAAAAAAATTGTTCCTCACTTCACGAGATTCCTAGAGTCAGCCTCTCGGTCTCATGGAGGAACTTAACCATTAGTCATCCACTTACTTGGCTTGTTATGTAAATTACTTTCCTTTAATATGCGACAGAATGAGTGACTTTTGTCATATACCACCTCAGGCATCACAAGTCAGAAGAACATGAATAGGTACCAAGCGTGGGATGTCTTACCCGCAGACTCCTTTGCCTTCTACTCGAAGGGTGAGATGTTCTGTACTTGGGTAACGGGAATTTTCGGTCGTTTTGGCGAGTGCATTCCATGGATCTTATGGCCCGGCATTGCAAAACGCTCTGTCGGGAGCCCGCTTAATCCACGTACCTGTCTCTGGCCGAGCGGCAGTCTCCCGTCCTTTCACTTCTTGCTGCAATGCGACCACATAGTTTCCTGTTCCATCTCGCCACCAAGGTAAGGCATTTTAAATGTGTAGTTCTTTTTTCAATGAAGAGTTCGTTAGCTGCTTTTCTTTCAAATTTTCGAGAATTTTAAAATATGCAACTTAGAAATACAAAACAACAAAAAAGACTTAGAATAACATTGATGCTAGTAGCTATGCATTGTAGCTATTTTCTATTTATGGATAATATACATTAATTATTCCAATTCAACTTAAGCAAAAAATAAAAGATGAACGTGGTTAATAAAAGTGTAAATATGCCGTTTTATACAAAAAAGGTATATACATACTTTGCGCAAGAATTTCCCAAAAAAGTCGCCGTAGCATGAAAACATGTACAGTGAAAATTATTTAAACGAGTCTGTCTTGAAACACAAATTCACTGTTTCAATGCTGTAATAACCTTACATCAAAACTTGCACTTGCATCGAAATCCAATCTGTAGTCATAACCCTTCTCAAATACTCCAACACGAATAAAAAACCGTTACCCTTTCAGCGCCTTCCTAAACATATTCTCCAATAATTGTGAACAGAAGGAGCAGATTGTAGCTTCCTACCCCTTCCTGTAGTTAGAGTTAGTTTTTAGATTGGGAAATAAGAATAGTTGTAAGCCATACAATACACATGAAAAACTTATGTAAACTGAACTATGTACTTCCGAAAGAAAAATAAATATGTTTTTAAAACAATTAACCCTTCTCACTCATTAGAGTTAGACTGGCCATATAGCAATAGTGACAAATGACAGAAGTGCCGATCTGGAGAAAAACTATGTAATATGCTAATTAATTGATATGCAATAAAATAATTATGTTAGTACAAATACTTTTACCCTTCAGATACATTTTTAAAAATTTAAAGATTAATTTTGTTATTGAAATTGGTTCACATAATTAAGAATAGTAGTTTTGATCGAAGTGTCAGACGAAACACGTTAATAAATTTACTCATAGAATACTAAGACACGAGAAAAAGTACGAGTTCGTAGTGCTGACAATAAAATGCCCCTTCTGAAGAAAAACCTGTGTATCCTGAAAAGATAATTGTAGTGTGTATTATCCCAGGAGTGACGATCTCTGGAATGGCCACAGGCAGATAGTTTCAGTATTACATGACGAAAAATAAAAATTGAATGAGATACGATGTTTTACCAGGACCAGCAGCTAGCTTCCGAAATGAAACCTTAGCATTGAGGATGAACAAGGCCTAAGAGCAGTGTTTTGCCCATCGACGTCTTTCAAAATTCCGCTGCAGACACAATTTTACAATACATTTTCTGCATATCTTAAAGGGCTTTCGCAGGTTTTAAACGAAGAAAGGTGAATTTGCATTACTTTGGACGGCAAAGATGAGAAGATGTACGACATTATTCAAAACCTTGTTAAGAAGCTACGAGATGAGCTTTCACGGAACTATTCACAAGGTATGCCTGCTCGTGACATAGTAGTAAACGCTCTAAGAGTTCTTATTTTATCACCTCTTTGTTTAGCAGATTATATAGAAAGTCTTTGGTGGTAAAGGATAATACTGACCAGCCAAGACCGTGAGGAATAAAGACACTGGCGACTCGATGCCAAATTTTGACCATGCTATAGTATTTTGTTACAGAGGCGAGGTATCAGGTCATCGGTAGACGCTATGATGGAGAAACAAAATTATAAAAAATATGCATCTTTGATATTTTAGAGAAGAATAGAGTATTATACAAAATCGTCAGATAATTTAGCAGCAATAGAAAAAGACGATTGGGTAGCCCAGTTTATAGAATTCGTTATCTTCGTGATGACGCACTAATCACCATGACTAACTGCTTTTGTTACGGACTCATGGCTGATAAATTCAGTTACAACGAAAGAATTTTGAGACACTTTTCCAAATCCATCCCTAATTGATGTCGTAAGCAATTGTTTACCAATTGGAGGAGGAACAACGTCAGAATAGCCTCCTCCCCCTTGAAAACCAATACTTACTAATACCTCTAGATGTTAATAGTATTAGTACGTATAAGTATTATAATGAGTAGAAGTAGGTATTGTTGAAGACGCGATCAGAGAAGCAGCACAAAGGAAAGAGGGTCGGATGTCTGCGCTTGCAGGTAACGAATGCCTTGGAAATGAGTCATTGCTATTGTTTCAGGAAATGGTTGAGGACGCATCTACGTCCGCGTCAATACATTTGGGAAGAAATATTTATTTTTACTTTCTCACGTTACTTCCTAACTAGAGAAAGTATTGTATTCGTACGCCGAAAATTGGTGTTTTTCTGGCAGAAAAACTCTTGCTTATTGCTGGGCCCAGGAAACAAAAAAGTTAATAAATCTTGTTTTATGGGGCCTTGATACCGAAAAATTGATTGACGGTAAAGCTCTGTACGTGTGGTTAACGTTACCGCCTAAACCGTTCAGCCGATGTTTCCAAGATGGATATTCCCCGATCAATTTCAATAAATTCCAGGCTCTGCTCTTAGTTTGAAACTGATATTTTGATTTTGGAATGTACTTTACGTGAAGCCTCAACATCTTAAACATTTTCTTACAAATTGTTCCGCGTTTTTTATTAAACCTTGTTCACTAATAGCGTAGGTCTCATTTTGTTTGAAATCATCATATTTTTGAGAATTGCAAAAGTTACCATTTTTTCTCGATGTCTTCTTACAACTGCAATATTGAAGATGGTGTTTTTAAAAATAAAAAAAAAAATTGTTGTTCAAAGACGGATCTTTAAATAAGGTCACGTACAAATTTTCGAAAATATTCGTAGTTTGCGCCTATTTTTGTGTGAAATATAGGGAATTTTTAAACAAATATTTTCTCACAAATGGTTAAAAAATTGTCCTTAAAATTTGTCCTCGCATTATTAAAGGTCGGTAAAAGAATGTGCTAGTCTCGTATTCTGCAGTCTCTCTACATTTTTGAAATTTTCAAGAGTTAAAAATAATGCGAAAAAGTGACGTAACAGCACTACTTGTACATACCAAACAATGACAATGGGTCATATGAATAAAAATGAGCACTTGCTCAGAAGTACTTGCTCCGGAGCAAAGTGAGTCTACTCCGCGGCACTGAGCAGAAGCTCCATTTCGTATGAATCCGAAGAACTTACTCATGTCTCGCGAGCATTTGCTCATTCTGAAGAAGTGATAGTGCAGGCTAAGAGTTTTAAACATTGGTTTCTTGAGCAACAAAGAGGTTACATACGTTACGCCCTCATTTGTGTGGAATAAAGATCAATGTTATTTAGTCTCGTTCTTTAAATTCGAATATGAGTAGTAACGAAAAACAGGCGCCAGAGGCCCAGCTAGTTTTTGCCGAAATGCTAAACGAATATAAAATTATTTTTGAAAAGGGCCA